AGGAGGGGGCTGTTGGGTAAGCACGTGAGGGGCGTCGCGCAGCTTAACCTTTCTCTCTTCCTCTTCCTCTTGTACTTCTCTCTTCCTCTGCCCCTTGTACTTATGTTATGTGTTAGAAGGAATCCCTTGGTGTGGTTCCTGTCCTGTCCACTCCTGGGTGGGCCAAAAGTTAAAATTTGCAATTAATTGGAGGACTCGAGAGGAAAGGTGGAAAATTTAATACGAAGGGGTCAGGGACAACATGTGATGTAATGAATGCGACCACCCCAAGACATGCCTTTTCATTGAATTATCTTTCTGGCCGGACCATTCTCGAAAGAAAATGTTCGGTTTGTCCGAGGGACACACCTTTTTGGCAACGCTCTTTCTTGGTTAAAGGGAAGCAACCTCATTTCCTTTCTTGATTTGTTTGATTGGCAAGTGCTTTCAAAGTTACTCTTCCGTATGTTAACGTTGAGTTAAGAATCTGAACGGACCTGGCTTGTCCTATTTCGCAGGGAGATTTTGTTAACGAGAGTGTCCGGCGAATATTGGTTAAGCAACTCTATTTGTTTTTTGGAAAATGTTACGTAAAGTCATTTTCCATGAATATGATAATATACTTCGGTGTTTGGCTGAACCTGAAAATGAACTGAAATGTATTTTCCGTTATTTGGTATGGAAAATCAAAAATGATTTTCCTAAATAGATATACACTAGTCGAATGCTAGTAACTTGCGCATGGACAGCTAAAAAATCGAGTACGGGAGTCCCAAGTTTGGCCTCGATGGACCTCGACTTGGGCACCGGGGATTGGGGCATGGGCACTCAAGTCCAGGGCCTGGCCTCGATGGATTGGGGCACGGGCGCCGAGTGGCGGGGTTTGGCCTCGATGGACTTGAGCGCAGGCACCAAGGTCCCTGGCCCGACGTCAATGGACCCAAGCGTGGGCATTGAGGTCTCGTGCCTCGCCCTTAGTAGACCTTGGCTTGGGCACCAAGAACTCAAGCCCAAGCGATGAGGACTTGACACCACCTTTGTGGACCTTAGCCCGAATGCCAAGGACCAAAGCTCGAGCATCAGCGACCTGGGCACGGCCTTTGTGGACCCGAGCCATGAAGTTGGGAATCTGAGCTCGAGAATCGGGATCCACACTCGGTATTTGTGGACCTAGTCTCAGGTGCTGGTATATCAGGTTTCAGGCCAAGCCTCAATGGACTTGTATGTGCACGCCAGGGGCTCAGGCACTAAGGTCCCAAGCTCGACCTCGATGAATCCTAGTGCGGGTGCTGGAGACCCGAACACTAATGCCAGGGTTTACGGGCTCGGCCTCGATGGACCCTAGTTCGGACGCCCAATCGTAGGGTCGGATTCAAGTGTCGATATATTCATTTTTCCAATCTTTTAAAAGGGAAATCATTCTCCTGTATATAAGTATAGGTTTTTCGTCGACTCATTTTCCTAAACGAACTAAATGCCGACAAAATAAGAACAATATTTTTCTAAAAAATATTTTTCACAAAATAAATAGAGCCTTAACGTAAAATATTAATGGTTCTTCGATGCGATGCTTCTCTCCCGTTTAAACGGTTCTTTGGAGATGGCAACGTACATCATTTAATAAGACCCTTTTCGAATATATCTAAAAAAAATCCTGCAAGTGGTTGTTTATCCTTAAAGTTAGGGCTGTTTAATGTAGGGGCCTGAATTCACGTGACTGGTGGTGACTAGTCTTTTGTTTTTTCTTCTCTAGGTGGTGAGTATGGTGGACCGCGTCAAGAGTTGTACTTTCAATGTTCAACTACTCTCTTTGGGAGTCGGGTATCAAGTATTTTTATTCATGCTTTTCGTTCTTTGTTATCAAAGTCTCGACCCTTTAGCGCTACTTAGCGCTTCGAACTAGAGTAACGAATAAGAAAAAGAAAGGGAGTTTGGGAATATAAATTGGAAAAAAAATGACTATTAGTCCCTTGAAAATTTCAAGGTTGTCGCAACTTGCCCCCGATATTAAACCTGTCAAACGGATGGATCGGATCGAATTTAGGTCGAGTCGAAAATGATCCGATCCAAATAGATCCATGTAATCCATTTTGACCAATTACTACGTAATGTAAATACAATGACCCATACCTGACTCGACTCGTGTTACTAAGACACTTCCATATTTAATTAAATCTAGGAAAACCCATACCTAAATTAAGATAAGAGTGCGGAGTGAGAGTGCGAGATTGAGTGAGAGTAAGAGAGATGAGTTGAGTTTAAATAAGTTGTAAACCTATTTATGATCAATTTACGATCCATTTATAACCCATTTAACACTCATGTTATGCTTATATCCATTTACTAAATATAACTAACCAATTTATGATCCATTTACTAATATATGGATTAAGAAATTGGTTTATAACCATTTTGACAAGTCTACCCGATATCATAAATTTGGCATAGATCCCATGTTTTTCCAATTGTCGGTTTTAGCGTCCTCCTTAGCGCTGACTCCGGCAACATCGTCACCTAAAAGTCGATCATGTGACGCATGTGACTCGTCACCGGCGAACACTTGAGGGCAAAATCATCATTCCATGGCGAGGATTACATTTTGCCACCTAGACTTGTTTCATAGTTACAAATAGTCCCTGCTGATTAAGTTATTATTTTTCAATATTCTCCCTTGGTCTTTCGAAATTCATTGCAATCTTTCCCTTAGAGTAATTGCAAAATCAAAAGAATATTAATTATGACTAAAAAACAAAAGAAAACTTGAAAGTAAATGATTGTGCATTTGCACTTTATTAGGTCGTGCCACCTGAAAAAATGATTGACCCTACCTCACTGCAAGGATACCTGAATCTTTGACGATTGCTTTTAAATTGATTTAAATAACATCAATGTCATTTCCTTTTAGTAAAATCCAATTAAAAATATAATAAATATGGATAAAGTAATAGAGAAATGAGTTTGGAATATGATAGAATAAGGTTAAGGGTCTATTCGAAAAGAATCTGCATAATGTATGATCCTGGAAATATATATTTCATTTCCTTTTTTTCCTTTCATTTTTCCTTAAGTATATCTATTTTTTCTTTCATTTTACAAATACTATACGGGGGTATATTGCAATGTTCAAAGATCAGGTTAGCACGTTGCCCAAACTTCGAAACATCATAGCGAAATTTGTTAGTTACTCTACTTGAAAAACTTAGGAGGCAAAATATAGTTCTCCCAAATTTGTTGGATATTTCGTCCCTCTCGAGTGAGCACCATCTAGTCACTTGAGCCCACGTGGTCGACTTTCCGGCGACAATTTAGCCGGAGTCGACAACAAGGGTACGCCGGAATAGAGTTGAAAACATCATGGGATGAATGCCAAATTTGAGATAATGTGGGGGGTTTTTACTTGAAGATAATGTAAATCAATTACCATATCTTTTCCAATTTAAGAATAGAGTCGATTAGAAAATGTTCCTAGTATTTTCTCTTGTAACCTTGACAAAAAATTATTTATCAAAATTCCATTAAACATATGTTCCAAAATGTGCCATGCCCGATGCTAAAAGCTTACAAGTGACATGAATTAAATTAGAAAATTTGAACCTCTAGGCTTTAGTCTAGATTCAAAGCCAGTCTTTTCTCTTCTATTCGGAATGTTGGATCTTATTAATGCTATAAATGTATTGGCGCATTAGCCATGACAATCGTGGCACCATTACCTTAGTAGAAACCCTTGGTTCGAAACTTGACACCCCATTGCCAAATGGCAAGAACCCAAGGAGGGTGGTCGGCCCTCAACGAGAAAGGTTTTATATATATGTGTGTGTGTTTAAAATTTTCTTAATGATCTCAATCTCTCTTTCCGCCACTTGGCTTGTCCTCAACTTCTTTTTTGTATTCGTATATATTCTACAGGCCGAGGATGTGTTTGGCACAACTTTGCAAAGACCCTTAAGCCAATGTAAGATCCTACTTAGCATGGCATTTGACATTTTCGAGATGCTACTTTTAGGATTAATGAATTTGTTTCTTCCATCTTTGCTCTCACTAAATTATCTAAATTCCAAGTTTATCCTCACGTCCATTTTCCAATTTAGATTGGATCGGCATCGTGCATCATCGCCGGCGAGTTCAGATATGCCATCGATAGCCATCGCCTGAGGTTGCACAACCTTCAGCGCCACCTTTCCTGGGCCACTTGAGGTTGCCGTCTCCGACTGGTTCACAATTGGGTTTCTTTGATCTCTGCATTCTCTCTCTCTCTAATGAAAAAGTTGGTTCACAAAACCCTAATCTAAACACTATTTGCATTTCATCAAAACCCTTTAATCCAAAGGCTTTTGCATATTACCCAAAAACTCTCCCAAATGCACCTTAGTCTATTCATCCGCTTATGTGGACATAACAAATAAGATAATACAAGAAAAATTAAAAAGTTTAAATCACATTAAGTGAATCCTAGTGAATGACCCGGATGCTTTTCTTTAGAATTTATCCCTAATATAAAAAAAAAGAGCACCTCTAGTTGGAAGTTAGAGCAGGTCAATACACAATTTGTCTTTGTTCTTTTACTTTCAGTTACTCATCCTCACCTCAATGAACATTAAATTCAACAGCAAAAAGAAATCAATAGTGATTCTAGCTATCGCGCTGTAAACTCTTTCTTCCGATTCGGTTTGAAACTCCCCCGCCGGCGCGCGTTCAACACCCAGAAGACATAACTGCCAAAGTAACTGTTATTTCTATTTTAGAGAAGAAAGAAAGAGAGAGAGAGAGAGAGAGAGAGAGAGAGAGAGAGGGGAGGAAAACACAGACAGCGCGATTTCGTTTGTCATTGGTTGCCTGTGGATTGTTGCTGCCGCCGGCGGGAGGGGGGGGGGGGGGGAGTTTTCCGTACGCTGACCGGGTGGGTGGGGCCACCTCCGGGCCAAATCCACTTTCTCTCTCTAGGAGAAAGTGGACCCCACGGAGAGAGGGAGATGGGGGAGAGAGAGAGAGAGGAAGTAACAGCTGTTGTTGCTGCTGTTCCATTTCGGTTTTCCTTCGTTCGTTTCGCTTGGAGGTTGCCTTCCGGCAAGATCTGGTCTCTCTCTCTTCCCCTCTCTCTCTCTCTCTCCGGTTCGAAGGAGTCCCGCTCGTTGCACTCATTCTTCTTCTCGTTGGCGCGGTTTGGCTTAAGACGGACGTTTCTCTCTTTTTGCTGAGATCTGAAGGATTCTTCCCATGCATAGAGGTAAAGAAGTATTCTTCGCCGTTCCTCTCGCGTTCGGCACTTGTGCGGAGTCAATCGCTATCCCTCCTGATTCTTTCTTATTTTTGTTCGTTTCTTGGGATTTTTGGCTTTTGCGTTTGTTAAGTTTTGTCCCTTCTGTAATTTTTTTCCTTACCAAAAAAAAAAAGTTTTGTCCCTTCTGGAGTTGTGAATCTCGAAGGGCGTACTTTATAGTTGGCGACTCTGAAAGTTCTTATGGGTCCGGGTTCGTTTCCCTGGATTTTGTCCCTTTTTTGTAAATTTCGCAATTTCGTCATCTGGGTTTCGAGCATCGGCTTGAAATGGTGAATAGTTTCGAGAAAGTTGCCGCCTTTCCTTTTAATCCTGAAAACGGAGTATTTACATAATGACGTGTCGAAAGTTTTGTAGTTTTATCAGAGATCTGCCTTCAAATTCTTTGCCATAGATAGAAATGCTGCGTCTGTTAGTTGTCTTAATGTGTTTGTGAATTCAATGCTTTACTTATGGAAGATTTTAGATTTTTGTTTCCTTGTATAGGTGAATGAAGAGGAGGATATGGGGAGGAAAGGGAATTGGTTCTCTGCAGTGAAGAAAGCATTGAATCCTGATTCCAGAGAGAAGAAAGATAAGGTGCATAATTTGTGTTTGAACTTTAATTTGTTTAACCTTTTGCTCAATGTTTTGGTCACACGAATTGGTTCTCTCCTTTTTTTTCAGAGATCTCAAAAATCGAAGAAAAAATGGTTTGGCAAAAGCAGCGCTCTGGATCCGGTTTCTTCAGCTGAGGAAACTGTATTGGCTGTCCCTGCGCCGCCGCCTCCGGTCGAGGAATTGAAGCTGAAGCCAGTTGAGGATGAGCAGAGCAAGCATGCCTACTCAGTGGCCCTTGCGACCGCCGTTGCGGCAGAGGCAGCGGTTGCTGCTGCTCAGGCTGCTGCTGAGGTGGTTCGCCTAACGACTGCTTCGCGTTACTGGGGCAAATCGAAAGAGGAAATTGCAGCTATCAAGATTCAAACTGCATTCCGAGGATACTTGGTAAGTAATCATATAGAAACAGGGTTCTCTGTAACAGGCTAAGGGGATGAACTTTTTGCCTTTTTTTGACCACAGGATGAGCTTGTTGCTGAATTGTCCTCTTGTCTGTCTAAAAGAAAGAAAAAGATCCTTTCATAAGTTCTGCATTGGTTATTCAGCCTTCGCGGAGTATAAAAACATGAAATCCATTTGGACCATTTCCAGAATGGCCTTGACTGGTCTCCATGTACAACAGTTTCTTTATCTAGGAAAGCTATGGCAATGCTGTCTTTTCAGCTTCTGTGAATTAGCATCTAGCGGATCGTGTGAAAATCTTTTCCTTGTACTTTCAGGCGAGGAGAGCATTGCGAGCTTTACGGGGACTTGTTAGGTTGAAGACACTAATACAAGGGCAATCTGTCAAGAGACAAGCAACCACAACATTGCGGTGCATGCAGACACTTGCCCGGGTGCAGTCTCAGATTCGTGCGAGAAGAATTAGGATGTCAGAAGAGAATCAGGCCCTGCAGCGGCAACTTCAACAGAAATGTGAGAAAGAGCTTGAGAAATTGAGAGTAAGTGCCTTTAACAATTTGGTAACGTTAAATAGTTTTGATCTTATGTCAGTGCTTGCATGCCCATGCTAATTTATTTTTGCATAATTTTTCTCCTGTTTTCCGATTCATTCCAGCCTCCAGTGTATGAGATGTTTTAGCTTGGCATTCCTTTTTCAAAATTTTATCGCGCCAACCCATTCCTTTCTTCATTAAGTAAATCCTTTTCATCACTGATTAGTGTTCAGTCAAAAGATTTTTAATGCCACTAGCAAATTGAATGCACGTTGCATCTCTGGAACCCTTTTGCATCTATTCCTTGGTTCAGCTCTTCATAATCGTTTGTTTTTTTCCCTTTCCCTGTTTTGACTTAAATATTGAACTCCTTGTAACAGTTGGGAGATGAATGGAATGATAGCGTGCAATCGAAGGAGCAAATTGAAGCAAACTTACTGAGCAAGCAGGAAGCTGCCATGAGAAGAGAGAGGGCATTGGCTTATGCATTCTCCCATCAGGTACTGCCATTACCTCACTGCACGTGTTGTGGATGCTTGAGCGCAAGAATTTAGACATCTTATTATAGAGTGCTGGAATTTTTCCCCAAGATGGTGATGTGTCCATCTATCTTCTCGCCTCATTAATAAGATCCTGTTAAGAGCATGACAATCCGGTTTAAAAAATTACACTTGATTGAGGTGATGCTTTCTTCTTGTTTTTATGGCTTTTTCTAAACCACTGACTTGTCCGTTTCAGCACAAAATTATGGTGGGTCACTCCATTGGCCATCCCTGCTGATAATGTAATGTGCTTGGTTGTCTGTTTGGAAGGCTCGTCTGTTATTTAGGTCAGAAGTTGTTGCCATGCCTTAGAACTGGTATCATATGGTTTGACCTGTGGAGAGACATACACGACCATTTCTATGTCGTCTTGCATTTGTTGGCAGGCACATCATAGGTTGTCCACTTTAGAAAGGTATAAAAGTTGCCTCCACTCCTAGGATGTTGTGACTAATTCATTTTAGAATAGATTACCAAGAAAAAAGTTCTTATGTCGAGTCATTTTTTTCCCATTTTGAAAATTGTACTTGCTTGATGATTATGAGGAATTTATCGTTGATCAGAAACTTGTGGTCGTGTTCTCCTGTTTAAGGAATTTTCTCTTCAGATTATTCCTTTTGCATGAAACCTATCGTATTGCTTGTCATGGAGTACCAACATTTTCAGGTGCTAAGATCATGCTCTTATTGTTTTTCTTGGAGAGTCTTGCTCTGTATCTCATTCTATGCTTGTTCTCCAAAGTGACAGCAATGTCAGTATGAAACAATTTATTCTTCGATGTTTGGTCAATTGCTTTAAGTATCACAACATTTTGAACAGATGATCTATTTTTAGCTTGCCATATTTCAAGATTAATGTTGATTACAGCCTTAAAACGTACAAAACTCATACTTTGATGATGTTTTTTCTCACAGCAAACATGGAAGAACAATTCCAAGTCAGCTAACCCAACATTTATGGACCCGCACAACCCTCACTGGGGTTGGAGTTGGTTAGAGCGGTGGATGGCAGCCAGGCCATGGGAGACTCGAAGCACTGTAGAGTACAACGATCAAGGTTCTGTGAGAAGCACAACAAGCCACGCCATGTCCCTTGGAGAAATCAGCCGAGCTTATTCCCGACGCAACCTCGACAACGATAACAAGCCTTCCCCCACCGCCCATCGGCCGAGCCGAGCCCCATCTCGTCATTCTCCGTCTACTCCTCCTTCAAAAGCCCCATCGGTATCATCAGTCACCAGCAAAACAAAACCTCCCAGCCCAAAGGGCCGTGGTTGGGGCGGTCCTGCTGGGGATGACGACTCGAGAAGCATGTTCAGCGTGCAGTCCGAGCAGTACAGGAGGCACACAATTGCCGGGTTGTCGGCGAGGGATGACGAAAGCCTTGCCAGCACTACATCGGTCCCAAGTTACATGGCCCCCACGCAGTCCGCAAAGGCTAAATCCCGGTTGTCAAGCCCGTTAGGGCTAGACAAGAGCGGGACTCCAGAGAAGGGATCGGTGGGGTCTGTAAAGAAGCGTCTGTCGTTCCCTTCTTCCCCTGCCGGTCCTAGGAGGCATTCGGGACCTCCCAGGGTAGAGAGCAGTAGCATTAAAGAGCTTGGGGCTTAATCGGAGGAGAAAGTTAAAATTGGAGGGAGCAGGTAGGCGGGAGGTGCCATTAGGAAGTTGTGTGATCTTGTGGAAGCGCAAATGGAGAAGGCTGGAGAGGGGATGGACAGGGATTTCAACACTCACCACCTTTTCTTCAGCAACCAGTCCACTGAAGTTGTAGAGGGAAGAGTGAATAAAACTGTGTCATTGTTTCGAGTGTTTGTCTGTTTGCAACTTTGTGCAATTGGGGCTTCTCATTAACTTCTCCTGTTGAATAACTAGTTCGTTGTGTCCTGATATGTGTGCTTGTAGTTTGCTGTGGGATGGCTTTTCTGATCCAATGTTTCTTTCAATTGTTTCCTAATGGACTCTTATTCAGTTTGGGAAATAAGCAAGCTTTAGTACTTCCACCATCTCTCTCTCTCTCTCCCCTTTTGTGCTTGTGGACAATTCCATATCATGGTTTAATAAAAACGTCAAGTGACCTATAGAACTGAGAGAAGTCCCCCTTAAGCAAGCCTGTGTTTCTGTTACCATTGAAAGTGGCAGTGATGTACCTCTGTTAAATGGGGTCATTGCTGGATGATGGAGAGTTCCCTATCTGAATATATCACTTCAAAGAAAAATGTGTATTGGATGTGGGAGATATCAAAGGCAGAGGCATCGTGGAATGATTATCTACATATCATGAAGAGTCCGTCTCTTGGTCATCATCCTCTTATTCGATGCTGTGGAATCTCATGGGACACTTAACTGGAGTTTGCATTGACGTAGCTAGCAAGTATCACCTAGAGGGGGTGAATAGGTGATTTGAGTGATTTTGAAGAATTTAAAGTGGAAATGATTTATAATCAGTAAAGCCTGAAGAATGTTTAGATCCTAAATGTGCTAGTGTGCAGTGTAAATAATATAATGAGAGATTGGGGATAGAGAGAACTGAACACAAGAAGTTATAGTGATTCGGCTTAGATCAAGCCTACATCCATTCTCCTATGGTGACAACCTACTGGTTAAATTCCACTATATGATCAAAAGGGATTACAAGTTCTGAGTGATAACACTCGGTGAATGATAGAACTCTTTATCTCACATAATCACTCTTACAGAATGTCCTTCGAAATCTCAATATTTAGCTCAGGAAAGACAAGTAATAGAATCGGAATGTACTCAAACTTTGGACTAGTTGATTCTCGATTTCGTTCGCTACCTTCTGCTCCTCATTAATCTCCTTTTATACTCTTTCGCTTCTAAACTAGCCATTGGACAGTCTTCAAAGGATCATCTTCCAATCTTCAGCTTGGACAGATTTGTATAAAATGAATTGAGTAACCGTTGGCTAACAAACTCTGAATCTCACTGAATCTGATTGCCCATACAATAAGAATCTTGGTTTCTATAAGTAAAACTTTATCCGTTGTGATATATACTTGCCATAATGTTTGATTTGTCAATCAATTATAATATTAGATTGAGTCAATCAAAACTTTCCTTTTGTGAAATCCACACCCGATCATTAGCCGTTATGTTTCGTTCTGAACAAATTTTAAGTCTGAAGAATTTCTAATTCTTGCTTTACATTCAAAACTTAAGTCAGCGTAAGTCTTCAATAAGGTCTGAACCTTTCCAAAGTGACGCTTGAAGTTCTTCATCAACTTGATATAAAGTCTGAACTTCTCATTCTGAAACTCGTAGAGTCTGAAGTTTTCTTTCTGAACCTCATAAAGTCTGAACGTCCAGAAAGTTAAGTTCTCTTGAAGTAATAAAGTTGCCACTTCCGGAATATATTTATCTGGGTCAAAATACTTCATAGTATATATCAAATTTACAAGATTAACATGGATAGTTTTATCAACTTCAAAATCTATTAGGAAATTTCCTCAACATACATCAAGTTTGCACGATTACCATTTTAGAATTAAATCATCCTAATCACCAGGCAAGGTAAGCTCAGTTATATCCGCGGTTGCTCAACTCTCCCAAAAGGCAAACGTTTGATTCCCAAGAGCAGGACAAATTTCGTGAGAACTCGGCTCGATTCGAACTTCTCGCGACGCATTCCTATACTAACTTTCTGGAAGCGTTCCCGACGTTGGTCGCTCCTTACCAATCAGAAAAAGAATAGCCTCTCCCTCTCTCTGAACTCATGTCTGTGCCTTGACAACAAACTTTGGGTTGATTCTCAGTAGATCGGAGAGGGTAATGGGCTGAATTAGCAATCATGATCATATGGCCATTTTCGTTTCTTGGCCCTTTTAAGGATTCAAAAATATATGATAAATTAGGTTTAGTGTTCTATGGACAATACCACGGAAGAAAAGGAAGCCCACTTTAGGTAATTGAACCCAAGGGAACTTGTTTTGTGGGCATTAAGCGGCAAATTGGGTTGCGAAGACCCATCGAAAAGGATTATTTCTCCTAATTGGCTTACCATTTGAAAAGGAAGCCCCCTACCTCCTTGAGATTTACTCTGTTCAGATACTTATCAGCTTTGTTCTCATTTTGTGACCAGCTAAATGAAAATCGGCTCGTTTCGACCAAAAAAAACAAAACTTGTTTTGTGGGCATCACCCGTCAAATGGTCAGTGTTGACTTGGTAATTTTTGTCGGATCTTGAACGAAAGTTTGACAAACATTTTTAAATTTTTGCCAATAGATACTATGAGGACAATAAACAATTAAACATGATAAAATGGGGAGAAATTGTCAAAAAAGTCATAAGCCTATTGCACAGTGTCCAATTTAGTCCCAAACCTTTCAGTTGTACCAATTTAATCGTAAATTTTTTAACGATTTGCCAATTTAGTCCTAAGTTTTTTAATTGTGACAATTTAGTCCTAAACCTTTTCACAATTGTCAATGTAATCCTTTTGGCCAATTATCCAAATATTAGGTTTAGGACTGAATTGGCAAAATTTCAAAAGGTTTAGGACTAAATTAACACAATTGAAAAGTGTAGGATTAAATTGGCAAATCATTAAAATGTTTATAACTAAATTGGCACAATTGAAAGGTTTATGGCTTTTTGAGCAATTAAATGGAGTATATGGGTCGAAACAAGCACTTCCTAGAGGGATCTGAATGGTAATTTTCTCTTTTGATATTGGTCCCCCATCATCGTTCTTCTTTATGGTGCTTGATTGTTAACCTTTGTGCATCTCATCAACTCCTGAATCCACCCTTTACATCATCGTAGACAAAACAAACAGCAGAGTGATAAAAGGAAATATCATATGCATAATCAAGTTAAATGTGCTGCCAATCGATATGAGTTTGTGCTCTTAGAGAGTGACATTTGACAGAAAACTAAAGGAATTGGAGAATTTTTGATATTGTATTGGTATATTTTAGTATACATGTACATGACCTATTTATAGTGAAAGAATAAGAAAGATAAATGGGAAACAATATATAAAAGATTACAATTCCCTATTTATCAAAATCAATCATGGATTCACTAAATCAATTAGTCAATCAAGATCAGTGCCCAATATCAGAATCTTCAATCACATCTCCAACACTCGCCCTCAAGCTGGTGGCCTATATATGTCAAGGACACCCAGCTTGCTTAGTAGGTGTGTATGCTTGTCTTCGACATAGTGGCTTAGTAAAAATGTCTGCAGGTTGTTCCATAGTTCCAATTCCTTTTGTTACAAGGATCCCTTCTCGAATCTTATCTCGGGTAAAGTGACAATCAACTTCTATGTGTTTTGTTCTCTCATGAAAAACTGGATTTGCCGCTAGTTTGAGTGCGGCATCATTGTCACAAAACAGTTCACTTGGTCCATCGACTTGAATCCCAAGATCCGAGAGTAGTCCTCGTATCCAAACTATTTCGCAGACAGTTTTTGCCATGGCTCGATACTCTGATTCAGCTGATGATAATGATACAGTTGACTGTTTCTTCGTTTTCCACGATAATAAGGACTTACCCAATTTGATGCAAAAACCAGTGATGGATCTCCTAGTCATCGGGCAAGTAGCATAGTCTGTATCACAGTAAGCTGTCATTTTCATGTTGCAATCAGAAGACAAAAATATACCAAGTCCTGGGCATCCTTTTAAATACTTTACCACCTTCAGTGCTGCATTCATATGAGACTGTTTTGGATTATGCATGAATTGACTGAGTATTTGTACTGCATAACATATGTCAGGTCTTGTCATAGTGAGATATATTAGTTTCCCAACTAGCCGCTGATATTCCGATGGGTCCTTAAGCAATGGATCCTCTATAAAAGAAGATGAACCCATATCATACTCATGTGTTGTCAGTTTGGTATTCTGCTCAATTGGTATAACGGCTGGTTTACATCCTGACAATCCTGCTTCAGAAACAATCTCCAAGATGAATTTTCGTTGACTAAGGTTGATACCTTTGTCGGATCGAGCGATCTCAATGCCAAGGAAATATTTTGGAGGTCCCAGATCTTTGATATGAAAAGCAGAATGTAGATACTCTTTGAATTTTGCAACATGAGAGTCATCATTTCCCATGATAAGTATGTCATCAACATATATCAGCAAATAAATTGATGAATTACCTGTTGTCCATGTGAATAGAGCATAATCATGTTTGGAATGTTGAAAACCTGCACTTGTTAGTGCAGCAGTGAATTTGGCATACCATTGCCTAGAAGCCTGTTTCAGCCCATACAGGGATTTACGGAGACGACATACTCGAGACTCCCCCTGTCTGCGTAAACTCTGTGGAAGCTCCATATAAATTTCTTCATCGAGATCCCCATGTAGAAAAGCATTGTGTACATCCATATGATGTAATGACCAATTGTGAATGGCGGCAATTGATAAGAAGGAACGGACTGTTACTTCTTTTGCAACTGGAGAAAAAGTCTCATGATAATCAAACCCTTCTCGTTGTGTAAATCCTTTAGCAACTAAGCGAGCCTTATATCGCTCAACGAGCCATCGGCTTTGAATTTGATTTTGTATACCCATTTACTGACCAATTGGTTTCCGATGTGATGGCAATGGAACGATATCCCAAGTGTGGTTTTCCATGAGGGCATTAAGTTCGGATGCCATTGCATTTTGCCATCGAGGGTCACATCTTTGCTTCATTGTATGAAGATGGCTCATGTTCTTCTGAGATGCGACTAATGCAGCACATATGCTCCGGTGACAATTGACTAAATGAGACATATGAGGATATAGGATATTGTGTACCTGGAGAACTTAAAGTAGAACATATGTAGTCCTTTGTCCATGTAGGTGGACGAATGTGCCGTTTAGAGCGTCGAGGTTGCTCAATTCGGAGTTGTTCAGGTACTGG